CCTCCCTTGTTTGCATCACTTAAGTTCCCACATCTAAGTTCATACCTACCATCTCCCGTCTGTCCACACACTTCTTGTACTTAGTCTGAGTCATCTTACTAATTAGATGGAAATATTAGTGTCCATCTCCCAAACAAGCCTCTGCCCCATAGCCCTTGCCCAGGACACCTCACCACTTCATCTGCTGTTTGACCATCAAACCCTCCCAGGGCCCTGCAGGAACATGTGACTTATGTAGTCACCGTCTCCTCAGCCCCCTCAGTCTGGAGGCATTACAGTTCCTTTGAAAACAGGGTGACTGACTTGGTCAGCTCAGTGAACCCTAAGACCTCAGCAGGGTGCACTGCCTGCAGAAGCCCCAGAAGTGCACCAGCCCCTCTCTGCACACAGCCTCAGAGTCAACATTTTGAGTTGGGTCATGCCCAGAGCGGGGCTGGGTTTTGCCCCAATCCCCGCCCCAACTCCCATTTTCCTTTTTAGCTTTGTATCCTGTAGGAGGCCACTCCAGGAGTGCGCCATCTCTGCCATCCTCCTTCCATTCTGTGATCACAGGGACTGCAGCTTCCCTCTGCACTGCCACACTTGTCATTCGTTCTGTGAACATTCATCTCTAGTCCTTCCAGCTTTGCACAATGATCTCACAACTCCTCATTCACTCACTAGGTGGAAATATATAAATGCCACCCTTAATTTGGCTGTGACGTTCTCTGACATCGCCTGGTTCTCTGGGTACCTTCGTCCTGGCATAGCAAATATTCCAGGCTCAGCTTGTGCTTTTACTGCTGCAACCATGGACCCAGCTATTTTGTTGAAGATCCTGGTTCCTTTTATTAGAGGAAAGCACTATTGCTTCTGGATGATACTTATCACTTAATCACTTAACTTCCCGTTAGTTGTCGATTTGCTCGAGCGGGCGCCAGTAACGTCTCCATTTGTCCTTGTCGTGTGCTAGTGTAGCCCAATGGCATCTGTTCGCTCTGGGAACATGAAGGGCCTCAAACCGATCGTTCATGATCTTGACGAAGAAGTCTGACCATCTGGTAGGTGGGTGGCCACGCGGTCTTTTGACATCCCGTGGAATCCAATGAGTAACAGCTCTAGTCCAACGGTCGTCTTTAAATCTCATTACGTGACCAGCCCATCTGATTTTCGACACCTTGGCAAATGAGACAGCGTCCCTGATCCTTGATCGTCGACGGATGTCAGAACTCCGGATTCGTTCTCTCATTTGAGTGAAACGTGATATTCCAAGCATAGCTCTTTCTATTCTTCTTTGGGAGACCTGAATGGCGTTCTCATTCTGTTTGCGTAGGGCCCAGGTCTCTGAGGCATATGTTAATGCAGGAAGAACAGTGGAATCAAAGAGATGTGCCCGGAGCCGGAGGTTCTTCGTCCTCTTAGCTATTTCTTCGACGTTCTTGAAGGCGTTCCAAGCCGCTCTCTTCCTCCTGCGAAGCTCGGGTGCCAGGTCATTTGTCATGTTGACCTCTCGACCTAGGTACACGCAGCTGTTGCATTCGGAGATGGTTGTTCCGTTGAGAGCGAATGGGGCATCAGGAATGAGGCTGTTTCTCATAAACATTGTCTTCGTAAGATTCAGTTGTAGTCCTACCTTTCCACACTCACGGTCAAAGGCGGCCAGCATTTGTGCCGCTTGGCTGATGTTTGGTGTTATTAAAACAATGTCATCAGCAAAGCGGAGGTGGTGTAGTTGCCGACCATCTATCTTCACTCCCATTCCTTCCCATTCCAGTCGTCGCATGATGTTCTTGAGGGTGGCACTGAAGAGTTTCGGCGAAATGGTATCACCCTGCCGCACCCCTCTCTTGACGTCAACGATCACTTCTTTGTAGAATGGTGAGATCCTGGTAGTGAATCCGCAATACAGCTCACGGAGGATCCTGATGTATTGGGCTTGAATGCCCTGATTGGCTAGGGTTTCAATGACTGCTTCCATCTCAACAGAATCAAAGGCCTTCTTTAAATCAATGAACGTTAAACAGAGCGGCATCTTGAAGTCCCGAGAAACCTCAATGAGCTTTTTTATCCGCTACTGGATGATACAATATGAAGAAACAACAAACGTAAAATAATGCATCAGTACACATGCACTCAGAGTAGACATACTCCAGTTTATGTATCTTATCTGTGCAAATATGTCAAGGAATAAGTTCATAATTATTCCAGCTCCAAACCTTGGGGCTCTGTCTAGCCTCCCTTTTGCATGGCTGTAAGATCTTCTCCAACAAGAAGCTGCTTTCCTTGATCCCAGTCTATGAATCATTACCCATAGAAGCAACCCAACAGGTGTTCCTGCAATGCTGCAGGGAAACAGGTCCCAAAGAACTTTGAAGACCAGAGCATCAAAGGAAGAACAGTCAAGTCAATTTTGTAATTGAGGCAGTCTTGTGTTTTGTTTGGGGACCACAGGTGGTGGTGCTAAGGGGACAATATTTGTGCCAGGGACTGAACTGGGGCCAACCTTGTGCATAATGAAGACAGTCCTTCACAACTCTCTGGGGCCTCTCTGCCTGGTGAAGCAGTGAGGCTGGTTGTGCAGTCTTGACAAGTTGGGCACCAGGTCTTCTTGGTGGTATGGAAATGAGGCGTGTGTTCTTCATCCATCTTCAGTGAAGCTGTGCAGGCTTTGGTAGGACCCAAGGTCCAAATGGCAGAGATGGGGTTGTGATAAGGCCTGAAGCTGGGCAGGAGGGAGTCTAAAACAATGGGAGTCACTACTAGAAAAACTGATGATGGAAATCAAAGTCATTGACATGGGTGGCAGTCACTTCACAGTAGAGACAGAGGATCACTTCACTTCATATCTGAAAAGCAGAGAGGGCTCAGAGAGTTCAGTGAGGAAGGTGCTTGCCTTGCACTTACTCTGGCCTGGGTTCTATCCCTGGTACCACATACGGTCCCCTGAGTCCCCCCAGGAATGATCCCCGAGAGCAGAGTCAGAAGTAGCAGTATGAGCATTGCCAGTAAGGCCCCCAGCAAACAAAAGAGCAGAGGACAGAAAAGGACCGAACTTAAGCAGAAGGCTGCCCTATCCCTGAAACTTGGGTGGCTCTTTTGAGGCTGAACTAAAGATTTTGTATGAGACCTTTTGTACAGGCTCTCCGCAGCTCCTTTCCCTAGAGAGCAGTGTCTTTCAGGAAAACTGCATAGAAACAGAGGTCACTGAAAACGCTGCAGGAGACGGACGAGTACAAGGAGTAAAGACTGGCAGAAACCTGAGATGCCCACTGGAGTCAAGCATATAGCCTGGCAGGTGAGTCAGCAGGACAGGGGGCAGTGGAGGGGGTCAGGAACGACCAAGGCCCAGAGGAAGCTGTCTTCCACAGGCAGGATCCCAGGGGCCAGGTCCAACACGTTGCAGAATGTTTCATGTGCCCTGTGTCTGTGCAAATCTTCTAACTTCAATTCCTTCTAGTAGAAAGGTCATGGGACAGACAGACCCACGTTCCTTCCTGTTTACAAAGTGATCAGTCGATCTGAAGCTTTGGCAGTGGAGGAGAAGGTGGCATCAGAACCCTGAGCTAGTGCATAGGGAAGAGGGTGGAGACGCACCATTTGACATATTTACAACATGCTCGAGTGTAATGCGGTGAAGAGTGAGAACAGTGAAACCACTTCCTTCTTTCTGCAGCTGAGTGCGCTCCACCTAGGGCATCTGGGAGGGGGCCACACCCAGCATCGCTTCAAGTCATTCCTGTCCCGGGCGCTTCAGAGACGCGTGGGGGTGCGGGATGGAGCTCACAGGCCGTCCTCGTCATCTCGCGTGCCCGCGGTGTCTTTCACGTGGGAATCGGCTTTACTTCTGCACACGTGCTCCCTCCACAGCCATGCGCACACGCACACAGGGCCCCACAGCCGCCCGGGTGAAGGGGCAGGTGCCCGCTCCGCCAGGCACTGTGCCGGCCGAGCGCAGCTAAGACCACCGGGCGCCCGCCCTCGCGGACCCCGAAGTCCGGCCGGATCCGCGCGAGACCCCGGCAGGTGCCGGCGCCCAAACGCCTCCCCGCAGGCGCTCGGGGCAGCAGCACTGCGGGCCAGGCAGGGGGCAGGGCCGAGACCCCCCCCTGCGCGGAGACCCACCCCTCCTGCAGGGCGCCCGTCGGAGGACCTCCCGCGGCCGGGCCCACGGGCACCAGCTCCCGGGTCGGGACCCGAGCGCGGGGAGCTGCGGCGCGGAGGTCCTGCTCGGAGCCGCCCAGGCGCGGCCCGCAGCCAGCAGCCCGCGCCCCCCACGGTCCCCTCCCCGCGGAGCCCAGGCGAGCCCGGCCGGCGGACGAGCGGCTCACCCAGGTCCCGGGGCCGACGCCCACCGCAGGAAGCGTCGCGCGGGCAGTGCGCTCAGAAGGCCCGCCCGCCCGCAGCCCCTCGCCCCACCGCCCCCGCCCCTCGGCCGGCCGCTCGCCCCGCCCCCCACGGACTGCCCCCGCCCCCTGCCTTAATTCCCCGCCCCTTATCTTACTGCCCCGCCCCTCGGCTGCCCTCTCGCTCCGCCCCGTCTGCCCGCCCCCTCGCCGCGCCCCGCCCCCGTCTGCTCGCCCCGCCTCCTGCCCGCCCTCCCACCCCCTACCTGCCCGCCCGGCCCGACCCCGTCTGCCCGCAAGCTCCGCCCCTGCCTGCCGGCCCGCCCCGCCCCCCGCCCGCTCGCCCCGCCCCGCCCGCCCGCGCTCCCGCCGTTGGCCGCACGCAGCGCGCGGGCTCCGTCGCGCACGGCTGCTGCCCGTGGGCCCGCCCGCCCGCTCGCCCCGCCCCATCCTCTCGCCCCGCCTCCCGCCCGCTCGGCCCGCCCCTGCCTGACCCCCTTCGCCCCGCCCCGCCCGCCCGCTTGCCCCGCCCGCCCGTTCGCCCCGCCCCTGCCTGCCCGCTCGCCCCGCCCCCGCCCGCCCGCCCGCCCGCCCGCCGCTCGCCCGCCGCCGGCCGCTCGCAGCGCGGGCTCCCTCCCGCAACGGCCGCCGCCCGCCCCGCGGCCCCGCCCCGCGCGCCGACGTGACGCGGGAGCGGCGGCGCCATCCGGTCGCGGCCGCGGCGCTGCGAGGGGCGCCGGCATGAGCGCCCCCGCGGCCCCGGGCCCCGCGCTCGGCGTGGACGTGCCGGCGCTGGCGGCGCAGCTGGCGCGCGGCTTCGCGCTGCTGCTGCCCGTGTACGCGCTGGGCTACCTGGGCCTGAGCTTCAGCTGGGTGCTGCTGGGGCTCGGGCTGCTCGCCTGGTGCCGCCGCCGCCGCCGCCGCGGGCTCGGGACCGGCCGCCTGGGCCGCGCCTGGGCGCTGCTGGACGCCGAGGAGCGCGCCGTGCACCCGGCCGTGCGCGCCTGCGACCTGCCCGCCTGGGTGAGTGCGGGGCCGGCGGGGACTGCCCGGCTGGGGGCCCGGGGAGCGCCCGGACGCACGGGACCCGCCCGCCGGACACGCGGGGTCCGCCCGCCCGCCCGGACGCACCGGACCCGCCCGCCCGGGTCCGCCCGCACTCCTGGACTCCCGCCGTCCCCCAGGGCGCTGCCCGGCCGCCGCCGCCCGCCCCGCTGCCCCCTCCTCTGCCCAGGTGGGCTGAGCGCTGCTGGCCTGGCCTTTCGTCGCCCGTCCCGCGCCCTCCCGGCGGCCGGCCACTCCCGCCCTGGCCCTCCGTGCGGCCACGTCGCCGTCCCGCGCCCGCCCGGTGGTGGCCGGTGACTCCCGCCTCTGGTATGCGCTCGGGCGGCCCGCGGCGGGCGGGGGGCGGGCGGAAGCCGCCGGGGTCCTGGTTGCGCCGAGTGGGCTTTCCGGCTGTCCGAGCGGGCTTTCCGGCTGTCCGAGCGGGCTTTCCCGCTGTCCTCCCTCCCCAGGAGACGCCCTGGAGAATCCTGAAGCCGCCCCAAAGACGCGCCGGCACCGAGTCGTCGAATGCGCGTGTTCCTAGTCTTTGCAAGGGAGTCTTCAGGCGGAGCGCTCGGACGGGTGGGCTTGGTCAGTGTGAGCTGGGAGCCGAAGGGGCCAGCTCTCAGCAAGGCTCGAACCTGGCGCGCGAAAGGGCCAAGGCAGTATTTTGTCTTTGTTTTCTGCTTTGGTTGTTGGCCGCTTCCTGGGCTGCTCAGGGGTCACTCCTGGCTCTGCTGTGGCCTGAGTGGACCATATGTGGTGCCAGGGATGGACCCAGGTGGGCCGTGTGCAGGCCCCTGACCTTCTGGGCTATTGCTCTGGGCTCGGTATTTTGTTTTCGCCTTGGACATATCTCAATTTTAATTTATTTACTGAATTGTCTCCGTCTTACTCTCCTTTCTCTAATGCTTCCTGAACACAAGTGAATTGTGACAGTTTGAGACCACAGGAAATGGTGCATATCTTCAGATAAAGGTGCCCACACACAGCTTGGCAATGTGTGAAAGGGCCAGCCGGTCTCCAAGGGTCAGTTTTCGCAGAGGAGGAGGAGAAGAGGGTCTGGAGAATGGGCCCTTTGTCCTGTCATTAGACACTTGTGACTCAAGTGTGGGGCATCTGGTACCAGAGACAGTGCCAGAGAGCTCAATGGGCCGAGGGCAAGTTTTACTGGCTGGAGGCCTGGGCTTGATCCTGGGCACCACTTGGCCACCCTGCCTTGTCTCCCAGCCTAGTTTTGACCCCTCCTCTCCCCAAAAAGGAGGGAGATGTAGGGGCCTTTACCTAGAAGCAGAGAACTCTGGAAGGAAGTCAAGGTGCACAGGTTGGAAAAATTCCAAAGAGTGGTGCACTTCAGAAATGCAGAATTTTATGTTTCTTGTATCTGTATCATGAGACATCAGATGATGGCAGGAAGTAGCTAAAACCAAATTAGATGCATTACCGGGATAGCAGACAGAATCAGGACCGGAGTCCTCAGGAATTGGTGGTATTCGATAAAAACGTGGTTTGGGGATGGAATGATAGCATAGCAGGTAGGGTGTTTGCCTTGCACATGACCTGACCTGGGTTCGATTCCCAGCATCCCATATGGTCCCCCAAGCACCGCCAGGAGTGATTCCTGAGTGCATGAACCATGAGTAACCCCTATGCATTGCTGGATGTGACCCAAAAAGAAAAAAAAAAAAACAAAAATGTGGTTTGCAGCAGATTTGCTGGTGAAGCCTTGTGAACTGAACACTTTCACATGGTAAATAAACATAACTTGCTGCCACATTGAAGGACCACTCTAAAATAAATAAAAGTAAAAATAAAAGACTGATTAGCCAAAGATCCGTTACTTGGATTTTCTTCTGCGTGGGATTTGAGTTGATGAGCTTTAGTTTTGTTTTTTTTTTTGGTCACACCCTGCGATGCACAGAGGTTACTCCTGGCTCTGCACTCAGGAATTACTCCTGGCGGTGCTCAGGGGACCTTATGGGATGCTGGGAATCGAACCCGGGTCCACCACATGCAAAGCAAACGCCTTACCCGCTGTACTATCATTGCAACCCTGATGAGCTATAGTTTTTATCTGTAGAATAAGGGACTTACATTTACTCCAAAATTCTTGTTTACTTCAAGTTTTTTATGTGCACATTATCAAAACATATTTCTTAAAAAGCCTGTGTTGCTTAGAAAACTTCTGAAAGTTTTCACATGAAACCTGACAATGATTATATCCAGGAAACTCTAGGAGTATGGGGTTTGAGAGAGATTTTTGAAATTGCTTTTTTTTTTTTGCCCACCACACTGGTTGTGTTTAGGGGTTCTCCTGAGTCAGTGCTCTGGGAACCATCCGGGCTAGGGAGCAAACCTGAGTCTCCCATGCGCAGAGCACTGTTCAGCTCTTTGAGTCACCTCCCGGTCCCCAGAGTCCCCTGTTAAAAAGAGTTATATAGTTGTGTATTATTTTTGTAATAAATAGTAAATTACACTGTCAAGAAAGGTGTCAGCTCTGCTATAGCTAGGGAGCAAATGAAAGAAAATTAGGATTTCAGGGCTGGAGATGGTACAGCAGGCAGGGCACCCCATGTAGTTCTGTGAGTACCTCCAGGAGCCATCCTTGGTGCACAGCCAGGAGTAAGCCCTGAGTGCTGTGGCCCCCGAACAGAACCAAAAGCCAAGGTGTCATTGTTAGTATAAGTTTGGTAGTTACCTACTTAGGTCTTTGAAGGAGGTACATTTGTATATATTTTTAAAGAGTGTGATTGACTGCTGTGGTTCATAGGAGGAGACTGTGGGCCTCACTCCTAACCCCACTTTGGGATTTGTTCAGCGCTACATTATTTCCGTTCGTTCTTTGGTGGGCTACAGACAGTGCTCAGGGCTATTCTGGCTGTGTTCAGGGGTGGCTGGAGGTGTGGGGGCCTCAGGTGGCGACCCCACTGCTGCCTGCAGGAAAGTCTGCCTGCCTTTTCTCCTTACTGCCCCTGCAGCACTTCCTGTAGGAGAGGAAAACTTTTTGCTGGACAGGACAATGAGATACGGTTTAGTACTTTGATGGAAAAGTACATATATTGTTTCAAGTGAAGACTCTTGGGTATGAAAAGTGACTCATTGAAAGTAGTAATTGTGCAGACAGTGTTATTTGGTTTTCACTCTCTTTTTTCCCCATAAAAGAGGGAAAGCCTTGGCAAGTTTGGCTTGATGGATTGAGGCCCGGCCCTTTCCTGTTGTCGGTTTGCTGTTTTGTTTGTTGGGTGCCAGCCAATGAAAGCAGGTGTCCATTTTGTTGTATATCTCTACCCTGTGTTGACTGGGACCTGCAAAATCAGACGTTGGGTGGAGTATTCTTTGGTGGTGGATGCAGGTTCCACCACCCCCAGGAATGCTCCAGGCCGACTCCTGTCTCTGTGCTCAGGGCTCACTCAGGTGCTGAGGACTGAAACGAGGTGGTGACCAGCGAGGCCTGCTCCTCCCCTGGGCGAAACAGTGTGCTTGAAAAGCTTCCACAGATTCGAATAGGAATGTTCTTCCACTACTTTTTTTTATTTGGAAATTGCTTTTGTTATTTTGTGCAGCAATATAGTTTTTATTAAAACACTTCCTTAGAAAGATACGAGGGAGAGGAAGAGAGGGGGTGCGTGCTCCCGAGAGTACAGGCTTCTCCAGAGCATGAAAAGCAGAGACAGTGAGCGAGATGCGTGGTTGGGGAGAGCACGGCCGAAGAGCGAGCTGGAAAACTGCTTTGAGTGTTTTTCAGAGAGCGTGTACTGATCCTTTGAATATTGTCAGTGCATATTGATCATTTGGCTGCAAATAAACAGAGACCCAAACTGTCATTCACAGCGTTACTCAACTGTTCTGACAGTTGGTCTTTCATACTCCTTCTCTGTGATGATGGAGAAGAAGAGCAGAGTCACCGTCCTTATTCATCTGTTCTGCACTCTTGGATTTCGACAGCCAGGCTCCAGACCAGTGCCAGCCACTGAAATCTTGCACCGCCTAACACAGGGTGTGCCTGAGTCATGCACTGGTACTGTTATAAATATTCTGCGTATAGGTGATGTTTCTTTTTTGTTTTTGGTTTTGGGCCACATCCGGCGATGCTCAAGGCTTACTCCTGGCTATGTGCTCAGGGATCACCCTGGCAGGGCTCAGGGGACCATTTGGGATGCCGGGGATCGGACCTGGGTAAGACAGATGCTGTCCGATTATACCTGCTGTACTGTTGCTCCAGCCTGTAAATGATGCTTCTTTATTTCTGCCTGTGCACTCTGAAATATTTATTGCTTTCACCAGTCTGTGGGTAGAAAAAGGTTGAAAAGTTTCCATTTTCTGCTATTGTGTACAAGCTTTTCCTGGGGAAATTTTTTTCCCATAGTTTTTCTGGGATGCTCAGAAGAGTTCACTGCAGATCAAAATGTAATTTATGTTGGCTGAGAACTGAATCAGAGGATATAAATAAACACATTTGACATATCACCTCCTTTCAGAAAAAAAATTAACCAGCCCTCCTACCCTACCTACCAAATAAAGTGAATAAAGAGAAAACACCTCCCCATTGGCACCCTGCTATTTCCCTGAATAGGTCCAGCTCCTCAGAGGGGTGGGAATTCCACTTTGGGGAATGGGGAATAGATCAACGAAACATGCACTTTCCAGGCCAGCTCCGAGGCGAGTGTGGATCCTCTGCATGCAGGAGGCTTTGATCTCCAGCTCCACGAGGTCCCCAAGACTGCCAGGACGGAGCACTGCGCCAAGAGTTGCCGGACACAACGTACCACAGCCATGAGGAGTGGCGAGGGGCAGGGGAGAGGGCCCAGAGGGAGGCACTCGCCTTCACGCGGCCAACCCACGTTTGATCCCCGAGTCCTGCCAGAGGTGATTCCTGAGTGCAGAGCCAGGAGTAACCCCTGACTGTTGTCTGGGGTGGCCCACAAACAGACAAAACCACCACCCAAACCACCAGAACTAGTTAGGAGACTACCTTTGGC